ACTGGGACAGGGACAAGGGGCCCCGGGGCCGGCGGGGCCGGCGGGGGCCGAGGCGGCCAAGCAGTGCAGCCCCTGCTCGGCGGCGGCGCAGAGCTCGTCGGGCCCCGCGGCGCTGCCCTACGGCTACTTCGGCGGCGGCTACTACCCGTGCGCCCGCATGGGCCCGCACCCCAACGCCATCAAGTCGTGCGCGCAGCCCGGCTCGGCCGCCGCCGCCGCCGCCTTCGCCGACAAGTACGTGGACCCCGCCGGCGGCCCCGCGGCCGACGACTTCGGCTCCCGCGCCAAGGAGTTCGCCTTCTACCACCAGGGCTACGCGGCCGGGCCTTACCACCACCACCAGCCGGTGCCCGGCTACCTGGATATGCCGGTGGTCCCGGGGCTCGGGGGGCCCGGCGAGTCTCGCCACGAGCCCCTGGGGCTCTCCATGGAGAGCTACCAGCCCTGGGCGCTGCCCAACGGTTGGAACGGCCAAATGTACTGCCCCAAAGAGCAGACGCAGCCTCCCCACCTCTGGAAGTCCACTCTGCCCGGTAAATGGCGCCCCCTCTCCAGCCCCTGTCCTTCCGGCTTTCCCCCGGCTTCTCCACGGCTCCCGTCCCCCCCCCCAGCCCCCCTCCCGTGGTCACCCGGTTGCTCCCCCTGAGCTCTCCCCGGCCCGGCCCGGCCCGGCCTGCCCTAGCCATCCCGCACCCCTGGGAGCCTGCCCCGGCCGGCCCCAGGTCGAGCCGGCCTTCCTTCCCCGAGGGGCGCCCGGGAGGCAGCTGTGGGTTCCAACCCCGGCGGCCCCCTTCTCCCTACGTGCCCCACCCTCCCAGGCCCTTGACACTGACTCCCAGGCCAGAAATAGACTCGCTCTGGAGCCCTCACCAAACCGTCCCCGCTGGGTTTCTGCACAGAGGCTTCGCGGCAGAAGCCTGGCGTGCTGGGGCGGGCTGAGGGGAGCCCTGTCGAGCGCCAAGGTGTGGACCGCCCCGCTGGGGTGGCCACGGGGACCCTGGGCCGCTCCACCTCAACCCAGGACTCACCGTCCCCCCCTGCTAACGCCCCGGGCTCGGGGAGGAGGCGGGACTGGAGCTGCCAGGCCGGCGGCTCCCGGAGCTGCCGCCCGCCCGCGCCCCGGCTCAGGTCGGCTCCCGGGGTAATCAGCCCTCTCCCTTATCTTGCAGACGTGGTCTCTCATCCCTCGGACGCCAGCTCCTACAGGAGGGGGAGAAAGAAGCGGGTCCCCTACACTAAGGTGCAGTTGAAAGAACTCGAGAGAGAGTACGCCACGAACAAATTCATTACCAAGGACAAACGCAGGAGGATATCAGCCACGACGAACCTCTCGGAGAGGCAAGTCACTATCTGGTTCCAGAACAGGAGGGTCAAAGAGAAGAAAGTCATCAATAAGCTGAAGACCACTAGCTAATGGATTAAAAGGCGGAGCAAAGGGCAGCTTGAAGAAACTTAGGAACTCCTTTCTTTGCCCAGCTAATAATAATGCTTAATAAAAAACAAACAAACAAACAAACTGAAGAATCGGAAAGAGAGACACTGACATTTCGCTCTCCTAAGGAGAATCTCTTTCTCTTCAATGGAATCCACTTAAAAACAAAACAAAACAAAACAAAAAACCCAAAAACCTTGAGAAATGGTAAAAACTGCCAGTTCTCCCGACAACCCCACCAGACCGTTAAATGACAAACTCTAGAGTCAACAACTCATCAGCCCCTAAAACACACAATTTCAGATAAATTACGAAGTTACTCAAATCTTGTAAGTATTTATGTGACCATTATATTTTAGGATACTGTGCTAGGTGGTAATAATCTGAAAACTGATGACAGAAACGAGCCTGTTTCGTCGCCGCCGTCTGTCCGTCTTCCCCTTTGCATGTTAAGTGCCTGCTCAGGTAAACCTTTATTGACAGTCCTACCGTTGTTCGTTCTGAAAAATGCTTCATGTGTAGGCTTAGTGGGGAGGAAGGCGCCGAAAATGTGATCTTGAACTATTGCTAGGAAGGGAGAGAGGAGAGAATGCTCATCCAAGGATCGATTTCTTGATAGTCAACACGGCCAGCTAGACCCTTGGTGCTACAAGGAAACCCAGGGTAGGTAATGAACTTCTGGAAACACCTTTTAATTACCTACAGCAAACTTGTCGGTGGCATTTGGATTAACCCAGTGTCAGGGATTTTTCCATAGGACTTGTAATTTTTAAAGTGTTTAGCCCCCACCAGATGATCCGAAGGGTTCACTTTGCGCCCCATCTCCTGGAAGGTCCCTCCCTAATATGGGTTTAAAAGAAACCTACTCTGTCTTATGAAAAAAGCAAATTGGCATTTTCCAATACTAGCTCAACATTCGGCTAGGCACAACACTTTTCCTTTTTAACTTAAAAGAACTTAACTCAAAATGGAAACCTGTTCCCCCCACAAAACGTCTAGATGTCTACAGTCTATATTTTAATCTACTCAAGGATTAGTATTTTTCCTTGTTTATTATGTTAGGAGAACGCATTAGAAAGTTTAGGAATTCATCTTCACAGCACATTTAATTAAGCAATCATTTCAATTCACACATTCGTTTTGTTCATATTCACTATAAATGCTATCTTGTAAATAAAGACATTCAGCACACTGTGAAAATGTATCTGTGCACCTGCTTTTTAAATACTTCTACTAAAAAAATGAAAACTTAGATCTGTAGATAGTGGTATTAATTGTTAATAAAATAATCACTGCCATTAAAATCTGAAGGAGACACTCGAGTGCTTTTCTATGCGGAACTTGCACTGCGCAGAAAGAAAACAAGCAGGTTTGTCTTATACGAGCCAAGGACCATTCTTTTCTATCATTATTCAACTTTTTTAAAAAATTTTTTATGAGAAGGGAAAAAAAAAATCTCACATAACTAAAAGCCTACAAATGAAAAGGCTTCAAGGAGATGAGAGTGTCAGGTATTCTGAAAGGGAGAGAAAGAGAAGGAGAGAGAGATAGTGTGAGTTCCCAGGCTCCCTGTGGCAAATGAAAACCAGTTGTTGGGTATCAGCAATGCCTAGACTGTCGTAATTTAAAATCTGCTCTTAAGTCTGCATGTGACTGAAAGGACAGGTTTTTGGTATTTGTTGAAATGACAGGACTAGGAAAGGCCTTAAACCTTGACCTTGACGAAAAAAGACAATTTGTGACCTTGACTTTTGACAGCTCATGAATTGGCCTCAGCCACATTCGTAGATCAAGGGCGCCACCTCGTGTTGACAAGCTTCATTGTAATTCTTCACCTTCAAGGGGACTGAAGCTCTCAACCTCCTTGACTTGTTTAGAGATTTAATACTCATAATTTTTGGCTCCAAAAGGAGAAGATTTGAATATGAATTATAATTATGTAAATTATACATGTGCTTGTATATATGTTAATATATAACATATGTTTATAAGTGTATATATTTGCATACCAGCGTTTCTGTGCCTGTGTATATAATTGTAGAATTTGTACAGATGCAGTATTATTCTTTGCCGATGACTGAAGACACTGTAATTTAAGGTGGTTTCTAGAGCTGAGGTAAAATGCTCCTTACGCGGCGAATTTTGCTTCCTTTTTTTAATGGCCAGCCTTAATTTGTCCTCACAGCCACTTGCTGTGTGCATCAGATTTCTGCAGATCTGTTTTAAAGCCGTCCATGTTTGTTACAGTCCAAGAGGTGTTCTTAAATAACCATTCTTTCCAGGCCCTCACCCTTCAAGGTGGTCTGTGACCTCAATTAGAACTATCTGGGAATCTTTACGGCAAATAAAAACTTTCACATACCTTCCTAACTCTAGAGTTCTAGAGTTACTTTCTGAAGCTCAAAGAAATCCACCTCTTTGAGAAGTCAGTAGGAGAACTTAAATATTTCATCTACAAAACGGTCACAATTCGGATGCAGAAGGAAAGTGATCCTGGACAGATGAGGGCTGAGCGTTGGTCCAGGGTGGTGTGCGATCTTAAATCGACGCCTGAAAAGCTACCGTTTGGTTTGTGGGAGGAATGAATATCCTTAATATTAACAACCACCATCAAAACTGTATTAACAGTCAATACTATAGCTACTGTTCATAAACCCCCAGCAACATAAGATGTGGTTTTCAGAGTCATAAATAATAGTGTGTTCATGTGTTTAATATACACGTAGGATGATGTGAGGGTTTTTGTCAAATCCTTTGTGTACACACATATTAAAAGGTTGATGGAACCAGTATCTTTTGAAATTTGAATTTTCAGGTGCAGATTAATTTTGTCTTTATGTTAGAGGAAAATAATAGTGAATGGGAGAACCGGATTCATCATTTGGTGGAAAATAATATTGGCCAATGACAATACCAGATGATGGAAACATCTCCAGCCTCGTCTGAAGACTTATAAAGAAGAGCTTCTTTATATCTTTATAGATGAAGAGTTATGGAAAGAATATGAAGCTGTTTCAACAAAGGATGGTCCTGAAACATACATGTCAGATGGCCTTGGAGAGTGCCGATCATATTTTTTTTTTCCTACCCTGAGGATTTTCAACCATTTGTGGAAATAGATGAAAAACACTGCTTCAGACCCACCACCCAGCACCTGGTGTCACAACCCAGTTCCAAATGAACTACCATCAAGCAAAGTTAATGACGTCTCCAACATGTTTAAAGTATTGGAAATTCCCCCTCCGAGTTGGATCAAACACTGTTTATGAACTGCTCCAAAGAGAAGTCTTCTGTTGAAGGGAGATATTTTTCTTTAGATGTAAGAAATATTCTGAGCCTACGGCCTAGGAAAGAGGCCAACAGCAGCTCTGCAGATGGAATGCTGCCCCTTTGGAAAGCCACTGCTTCTGCAGGAGTTCTGGGTAAAGTCTCTCTCTCTCTCTCTCTCTCTCTCTCTCTCTCTCTCTCTCAGAGATGTCAGGGTGCACCTCTCTTTAGTTATGAAATGGCTGTTGATAATTTCAGTCTCACCTAACTCCCCTTTTATTTAAAATGGCCATGGATTTGCTAGATTAGTTGAGGTGGTTGTGGATTATAATGACGTCTTAGGTTTTATATTTTACTGTTGCTGTTTTATTTTATTTTATTTTTTTGAGATACAGTTTCTCTGTCCTGGAACTCACCCTGTAGACCATGCTAGCCTCGAACTCAGAGATTCACCTGCCTCTGTCTCCAGAGTGCTGGGATTAAAGGAGTGTGCTACCATGCCTGGAGGCTTCTCAGTTTTTAAACAGCAACCAGCCCAAAACCTATAGAACAAAGACAGGAGAACACTGGCCTCTCCCTGAAGAAAAAAAAAAAAAAAACACGCGTAATAATGGCAGACACTGATCCATGAATAATGATGTTGCAACTCTCATTCAACTATTTTTTCTATAAAGAAAAGTTCCCGAATAAAAAAGTTATAAATATGGGACTTGAAAAAATGACCCTTTCCATCTGCTCGCAACCCTGTCAGATTTATTAAGTAGCTTTAAGTGGACGCTTGTAAAACGTCTCTGTGCATTTCACTAAGTATTTACGCCTGACGCCGACCTAACGCCAATTTTTTTTTTTAATTAACGTAAGATTTTTAAAAATCAAACACAGGTAGGGACAAAAGGGGGAAACCATTGATTTTTAAATCCTCAGCCTAATTTAAATGCTTTGTGAGAGAGCCGCTGTGCCCTTCGCGGAGGATGTTGTGTTTGTGTGGGAGTAACGGCCAGATAACAGATAAGTGGCGCTTGCTCTGCTGGGCTTTGGGGTGGGTGAATTCCCCGGTTTAGGAGCTGTGAGGAAGGTTGCCCAGGACTACTAATCTCCTGATGGGGGTTCCTAGGCGCCCTTCTGGGCTTGTGAACCTCGGCTGAAGAGGCGCTGGGGGATTGCTGATTTATGCGCACTCCTTTAAACTCGATCGACTGCGTGTCAGCAGCCCCAAGACCTGGGGAGCCGGGGAAACCGTGCAGCGAGTTGCTTGCGTCCCATTTTTCATAAGCAAAGATGCGGCCTTCCCCAAAAGGCCTGGCGAGATTTATGCCTGCCCGGGATTTAGACAGGCACGCTAATTAAGTTTTCATCTGCTCGGTGAATAAAAACCTGGCTTCGTCCCGTATGGAAGTGACCGCTCGGTCCCCACGCGGCTACCTCGAGCCGACGGATGCCTTGCCTGAGAGGTGCCCGCCGCTTAAAGTGGGGCTAGGGGAGAGAGGTGATGCTTGCGCAGAAAAATTCCAACGCGAGGGCAGCCAAGGGCTCGGCCGCAGTCCATTTCACTGCGCTCCTGTCCGGCCCCGCCGATTTGCTGGAGCCACTCGGCACAGGGAGCTCCGCCGGTGTCTAAGAGCTTCGGCTTTCGGGGAGCCGTCGAGAGGCGCGGGGCGGGGGGGGGGGGAGCCGCGGGGGTCGTGCCTGTTTGGGGGAGGGCACGCGACACCCCT